TCAAGAAGGCCTTGAGCTGCAATGGCCACTCGTAAAGGCAGAAAACGCCAAATCAAACATTTACACCGAATATTTAGCAGGTTTCTGTAGGCTCCTAGACTAAGGCATTGTGTGGGGAGCCCCGGTGTACGATAGTGCGACGAGACAATCTTTTGAATGGATGCCCAATAGATAAAAATAGACTATTTTGTGCTTTGAAAATGATAATATCCGACCGGGAAATCTGAAAGGCTTCGAAATCTGTCGGCTTTTGCGAAATCAGAGAGGAAACATTTACAGTTTCCTTGGGACCCGATGCCCCGATGTACGGATGCCTGAAGCGCTGGGAAAAGCAACAATCAGGCTCAAACAGCGAGCGGCCATCTTACTGAAATCAAGTACGTTTCAGCCGCCAACCATGTGGTTGACCTTGATGCTCCCTATATGGCGGCAGCAAGCTATCATGTAATAGCAGTGTAGAAAATACTGAACAAGCAGAGTTTACCAGCAGTTAATAGAGGAAGGCCGCGCCTTCATCATTATCTTTTTCGTGGTACGAGCAAAAGAAACCAGCTAATTACCAAAAATACGGACATATGGCAATTCCTGCTCTGCTAGACATACTAAATAAACAAAATGACGATAGCACTTTAGAAGCGTGAACAGCGAAATTTTCAAGAGAAAAGCAACAAACCATCAAAAGACGTGGTGCGGCTATCCCGTACTATATGACCTTACTTTATGCGTACTGTCTGATACGCTCTTATATCTAAAGTTTGCGGTGTTGCCACGGAACCATTTTTCCAAAGCCTCGAAGTAATTGAAACCATAAATGCACGTGCAGACTGTAGATATGGATCTCGAGATTTTCACAATGATAGCAACGAGGAGAGCACAACCAGACTCGGAGCAGAACGTTGTTTCGTTCTTTGTAAAGAAGCCAAAAGCTGCAGCGCCGTAAAAGCAACAGTAATAGTATATACAGAGAACGGCTCTTTGACAACAGCAAAGTTGCACTGCCATGGAAGAATGCGGTGCCTTTGCTTTAGAATAAGCAAAATAAAAGTAACTTACAAAAAACTAAGTGATCTTGAGAACAAAAGTGGATTGAGCAGAGAATAAGAATACCACTGAGCACATTTGAGCAGCAGTTGACCTTTTGCGGTTCTAGCACTAATGCCACAACCCCCCTGGCAGCAGGCGTCGACAGATTTCCTTGTTTGTCCCTACTTGAAAAATACTTTTTTGTCTCTTTTTATCGTAATTTTGCCCAATTTTGCGGCATTACAAGATTTGTTTGCTCACAAAAAGTGGCGTGCACTCAAGATTTAAGATAATCATGCATGCATTGCATGCCCAGTGCTCTGCTCAGCTCTTCGTAGGTCATGGTTAACCAGCCCATTGCACGACAAAGTTGCTTTCTTTGTTTTTTAGGGAGCTCAATGCTGAGTTTACTGCGTGCTTAAAGAGTTACAAGCTCTGTCACTTTGTAGGCAGCGGGGAGGCATGGAAGAGAAAAGACTCTTGTTGCCGCGGTAACCTTTTTGCCAGAAAAGCTTCATTCGCTGACAACGAAATTAGCAAATGTATTATTGGTCGCTTATATATCAGCCGCTTTCATGCAGGCCATCAAGGAGACGCTGGGTCCCGCTGTGTTCGGGGAGCCATTCTGTGTCTTAGGGCCACGAAGTAGCTTTGTAACCGCAGTCTGAGGACTCGAGACATCCGTTTTGAGATGCACTGAAATGACTATTTCCTCGCAACAACGCATCTGAAAGATGGCTCCCTCCTCGGCACCAGCCGTGCATTCTTCAAGTGACTACAGGAAAAATTATAATGCAGAAGGGTCAGATATTAGGTCACTTGTCGTGCCCATAAAGTCACCCCCTCTAGGAGTGAGTTCCGTGGAAGGCTTTTTGATGCTTCTAGGGATACACTGTAGATACAACCACAGAATATCTTGGTTTTTCCATATTATCCTATATTTTGGCTAAATTCCGGGAAACACGCCTTGCCATTTTTGTACTGTGCCGTATTGTTTTTGGCGCTAAAAGTTAACAGTAGTACTAGCTCTTCAAAAGCATTTGTGTACTGATAGTGAGGAAATTCAATTTCTCACTTTACACCTCAGAAAAGTACCTGTGGTTCGAAGATATCTGGCGTTTAGAGAGGAACAGCGTTTTCTATGGCCAAGGCAGACAGAAAATGCTCTGATATGCGACATGCATAACTCTTAAGAATAATAGTTGGAAGGCGTGCTTTCCAAGTCAGCTGACTCACCTGTCGGTATCTGCTGAGTTCAAATCTCCTATGCCTATCGCTCCGACGTCATGTATCCTTGCAGTCGCAATGTAGCAAAGCAGAAAAAGAGCAGCTTCTGCGAGATGCCACAAGTTCGCTGCAGGAAGCTTATCTTGACCTGCTTGGAATAATTCCAACAAGGTAGGCGACTAACCACATGGCTTGCTCGATGCTAACCCTGATAGCTAGCATCCTACAGTGTGTTTTGTCAGGCTTTGAATGGATAACACCCTATGCTCCACAATTTTGAAGTGGTAGGCGCTACTATGGGCACAGTACAGTTTAATCGAATCAAGACTAATGCCGCTAGCTTTCTATGGTATGAACAAAAAATTCCAAACATTATTTGCTGTAAACGCATTTAGGAACAATCGGAAAATTGTACAGAAGAACTTAAAGCTCTGGAAATGCCAGATATCTGTATCCTGGTCCCCAGGAGGGTACACTATTACTACCGATGGCGCTGCGCTTTAACGCGGGCTGGAACCAAGGAGCCGTAGATGCGCAGGGACTTAGCATTAGCTCTTATCACTGTTCCGCAAACACCAAAACGAAAGTATTTTCCTGTAGAAGGCGTGTGTGTTTGTTTGATTAGCTAGCTGTACATACCCAGAAACTCAGTCTCGTCTTTTTCGTGGTGCTATGGTTACCATAACAAGCGTATTGCCCCTCATGAGCTTAGAGCCACCCAGAAGCTTGCTACTAGCTGCTTTGTGTTTGTGAGTATTTAGAAGAGATGCTGTTGCACAGGAGCTCGTTGTCGAATTCCCGCACTCGAAGCGTCAAGAAGCACCCGAGCAAAAAGACACTTCTGGAGAACTACCCGAATACGAGACAATTGTAAGCGCGCAGCCATACATTCCACAGTCACGCCTCAGAAAACGTGGCTCTGCTTGTCTATCTGCAAACAGCCGCCTTGGTTAGCCTTGTGGCACACGCCAACATCACTGAAATGGTGAAAATTTATTAATACAGTTCGCATGCGGTGCCATCCTATAGGACACTACGCCTCTACCCCTGCCAAAGCGAAGATATTCCGATGAGAGTGAAGAGAAGGAACGTGAGAGAGAAATTAGATTGGCCCGAGACATGGAATATATGTAGGTAGTCAATCTGTGCCTCTTTTAAAGGAAGGCTGCGCCTTCTCCCACAGGAACACGATCACAATTCCACAACAGTTCATGCAAGCTGTAGCGCATTGCAACAAAAAAAGCAAGGGAAAGATTTTATGTTATGCCCTAAATAAAGACTGCCGCTCCGGGGAACATGGAGCTGTCTCGGCTGCTACGTACGCAAGGATCTCTGGCATTCTAAATATAAATGCTGTATTACAGGCGCTCAACTAACCTATTCAGGCTATTTCAGAGGATCAGCTCGAACCCATCAGAGCTTGAAGAGCTTACGCAGCTGCCTACTGCACAACAAATGCCGCAAACGCAGAAGTTTGGTGCCAGCTGGAGAAGATCATCAGCGGAAAGCGGAGACCTTTACTACCAAGGAACGGTTCCCGCGTATGCGGCCCTCTCAGCAACCACAACGCATGTAATTGAAGCAGCTGCCAATGAAGCACGCAGGCGCAGGCCGCTCTCATCAATAGCAACGAAGCCAAAGATGTCAATGCTGCCAAGGCAACTGAGTTCAAGATATTTATCTCGAAGTGGCAAGCTGAGACTGAAAGCCTTTGTTGCAAATGAAGATAGCCTCTTCATCTGCCTGGTACTCCCCGGAGATGACCAGTGATACTGGATGGGGGAGAGTTTTTAAAGTGCATCCCTGTGTTCGTGTGCAATGAAACAGCTTTTCCTCGCCAAACAGAAACCTTGCGCAGCACCATTGTAGACCGACAAAGGGACTCTGCACCAAAAAGATACTACTCAAGAATAGGCTCAGAAGATGACGGAACGAGAAACTACAGGAACACTGTTTCGAGTCACCAAGAAGCGCTGCAAAGGCTTATAGCCAGCGGCACAGCGGGAGCATCTGGAAGTGGAGCAATAAGCAAGATGCTGCTGTCATTTAGCGCCCAGTCACGGGCTAAGTGGCAGCGATCATACTCGGGTAAGGCGTGAACAACACGTAATCATGATGATGCTCAAGCCTGAAGCTTGAAAGTGCCGAACTGCATTTTGATTTGTGCAGCGGCAAGGCGTAGTACGGAGGAGCAAAGTGTGTTTCAAGATCTTCGTGACAAGTTTATTCTGCCTTACGCCGCATTCCGCAGATTGCCGCTGGTGCGTAAACGCCTCCTAAAGCTTCAAGATGCTCTTTTCATATCTTTGGCTTGCCTATCTAAAATGACGGCTTGCTCACCACCTCCCAGTGCGAAATCTTGGTACCAATAATTTTGGCAGAACATAACTCTTGAGGAAGGGAATGCGAAAAGAGCCTGGAAAACCTTGACAGTAATTCATGGTGTTTTTGTGCTTCGATTACAAATTCGTCCTGTCGCACGGTGTCATGATTTGAGTAGGGTGAATGGAAAGTAGTTCATTGGTCTGCACTACGAGGAGCAGATTTTCTGATGCCAATTGCATTTGAAAATTACGCAGAATCGACTGAGCCATTGAAGGTAACCACGGCTACACTCTAACTATGCCTGTTCCAGAATTAGGCTCAAGTGCAAAGTGCAACTCTCCGAAAGCAAGTTATTCTGCGTTCAAACAGAGGAAGCTATAACTGCTGTTGGTTGAGTGTGGCACGAGCAGGTATCACCAAACAGCATGAAGGAACGAATTACTTCCGTTATTGGAGAGAGCCTTCTTTTGGAGCTGTTGACGCATCGCCCACTAAGTGCAGCGCAGGTAGCTGAGATTCAAGTGTTGCTGGCATCAAAGTCTGTAGCACGCTTCGCCTTCGCCTTCTGCCACCTCGTGCACTGGGTCGCGTTTGGCCAGACACAACCTGATGCAGCCGAAGATACTGAGACTCTCGAGTGTGATCCCCAGAAAGCAGGCGTCGAATCCTCCTCACCTTCAGACTGTGCACATGGTGGCGTCGAATTCGTCTCAGCTGCTGATATCAAGAAACCGCATGATCTTGCAAGGGGGTCTTCTGCTGGCCTGCGCCAGAAAAAAGATGGTCTAGACGAAAACCAAGAAGTTCGCGAAGAAGAAGTGCAAGCCGTGAACGCGGTTGCAAAGACTCATCCAGTGGCAAAGCTAAACACCGAAAATCCGAATTATATTTTTAGGGAAGAGCTTCTTCGCCTTCGGGGAGGAAGCGCTAACCTCAGCAGTCTCTTTGGTGGGGGCTTCACTGCAGCGGACAGAAGGTATGGGGTTCTTCAGCAGGCATCTGGGGTGGCACTGACCTCCGAAAGCAACAACCTAGAAGAATACGAGGACCTTCAAATCCCGCTCAACACTTGCAGAAGAAGACTGAGAGCCCTAGCGGCCGCTGAGATAGCTTATCGAGATGTCATGGAAAAGATAAAAGTGTGTTTCGCCGTCCTGTACAGCAGTGTATATTGCCAGCAAGCAACTAACGTGACAATGCTTGCAAGCTGCCCTTCTGCTTCCAAGAACGCTGCTGTTCAAGAGGATTTAGTGAAATGTTTTTTCTGCGCAGGCCAACTTTGGAGCATTTGGCATTTCCCTCATTTGCCCATTGTCGGTCCTCGCTGTTAAGGACGCCATTGCTTGGGCGTTGAGACAGCAATTGCCCAAACTGCTGGGACAGAAACAGCTCCAGCTGGAACTCGCTGATCGCATTAATTCGCTATTCGCGCAACTTTTTGATCAGCAGGGGTATTTTTCAAGGTAGGCTTTGCCAATCAAAATTTCCGATATCCACCGAATATCACGAATGCTCTTTGACAGTGTACTCCTGGCTTGCCTTTCTTAGGTTTCCTGCTATTGACGCCCACCCACATACCCAGCAGTTACAGAAGAGGGTATGTCGTCATGAGCACGTTGCACTGCTGGCTCGTTGGACTGAATAGTTGCGCAATTTCCAGAAAAGATGAAAAGCTCACTGTGATTTTGATGAAAGTGCCTGTTGCTGCAGTGTTTCGAGGCACACAACGAAACGCAACATGAGACCTCACGAAGGGCAGTTACAGCCATGTTCATATTCGCGTGTTCTTCAGTTGGAGAAGTACCAAGCGAACTGCCCAAAACCGCCTGTTTCCGCAATAGAATGCTTCCAGACGTTGTGCTCTCCTTTAGACCTCACGCAGTGCACGGAAAAGCTAGAGCTGCAGGTAAAGGAGCTGCAAGATGAGGTATACAAGCAGCCTTCGATTCTCCAGCTGTTCCGTGAAGATTTGTCAATGCCGAGACAACAGCATACCGGAGATGAAGACCCGCAGCACAAGCTATTACGCCTTCAAAAAGAACAACAAGAACTTTTATCCACCAGGGATCCCAAAGTGTTTGAACCTATTACGAACTGGAATTGCCCAGGTGAAACCTTTCGTTCATCAACACAGGTCGTGAATGTAGGGTGCAGCTTCTGTGTATTCGTTGTGTGCTATGAAGGTTGCCATTTTAATTTTGGGGGGGAAATGCAAAATTGGCTTCAACTGCTTTTGGCATTTTAGCTGCTGTAGCTGACTCTACGCGAAATGCACTTGTAAAAGTCAGGCTGCTGCCAGACTGGGGCATGTGATTCAGGAGCATTCCAGAGACTACCGCAGGAACCCCAGCGGCAGAGTGTTGGTCCGAAATCTACCATGTACAATAAGATTTCCTCGTGAGCTGAAAATCCCATTATGACTTCTCTTGTTCAGGGAAACAGGAGCTGCTTGGAGGCGCCATTTCGTTGCAAAGAGGCAAGCGCGGGCTGCAGCTAAATGCGGTGGCTTGGGAGCCTTTTAGATTCCTGTGCATTATTTTTTTCAGGACGAGCCGAGTAATGCTGTGCGAGATGCTTGGCAGCCTTACGCATACCGATCCGAGGGTGCGCATGCTTGCGCAAAAGGACAGAAAACACCACTACATGTATTCCGAGTTACGAGGACCTCGAATGGTTCCGCGTTGTGCGTCTGGTACGCACATCTCGTTTGCTGCCATGAACAAAGCAAAAGATAAGAAATCACGCGGGGTCAAGTTAAGGAGTTCCTTCCAGAAGGAGAAATCTATGAACCGCGCAGTTTCCAAAGAACATTGCTCAGAAGACGTCCTCCACGCTGCGCGGGAAACGTCGGGACATCAGGCTAACTGCCTTGATGGCGATGGAACCCAATTGGTGGGCATAGGCTAGCCGAAGGCAAAGTTGCGTGCTCTTTAAAGAGCTCATTTTTATAATATTTCTACCATAGTTGTTCCAGTGCTGCATTAAGAAGCAAGTTTCGGAGGCAAGTTGCTGCGCCGCAGTCGTTTCAGGCTAATGAGCCCCTGCATTGTTTATCGACAGTGGTGAATGAAGAACTCTGTGAAGATGAGAAAAGACATGAGAACAAAACCAGGGCTTGTACAGTTGTTGCCGAGATGAGGAACGACGAAAATGGTGCAGGGCCTCAGGTACAAAGCCCTCTCATAGAGGAGGAAGAAAATATTCAGAGCCAGTGGGAGGCTTTTTGGCGAGTTGTCCCTGTTGCTAAACAATCCCGCAAAAGGCAACAAATACTGGAAAGATCTCGCTGCAATGCCAGCAACGTTCCTGCGAAGACTATGAAGGCAAGGAGCCCCCGCTCCTTTGAAAACGACTCCCAGAAAGTCATGGGGACCATTTTATGAAAGCTCCGTAATACATGAATGCGTAAAATGTTCCAGCTCCGTGTGCCTTCCGTGCATACAAACGCCAGAGATTCGATATTCCCTTTGGGCCTTTGGTCCGAAATTAGCAGTGTGCATGGATGCCCGTCGATTTGCTGAGGGGGTGGCTGCGCAGACATATCTCAATGTTGAGGGAAGAAACCCAATGCCGCTTTCAGGACAGCAAAGCAGTAGGAAGCATGTTAAACAGCTAAAAAGTAACAAGTCACGGAAACGGTTTGCCACGTGGCATTTCTAATGTGTTATTTGAGTACTTGAATACTTCCGAGAACAGAAAGTGGAATATGTGGCGCTCGCTATGCGTAGGGCCACAAGGGGAAACAGGGGAACTCACGATCACAAGAAAGTCTACAGGGCGCGAGCATCTGAAAAAGGAAGTGGACCAAAGTTTCTTGGAAAGTGGAGTATCGCAGCAGGTAGAACAGCTCCAGCAGCAGCAGCTGCTTCCTCAAAAACCGAGAAGCGCAAGGCTGCGCCACAATTGGGCAAGCATACCAGGTTACTATGATAAACGCAAGTCGGAGCTTCCAAGATATCCAGAGCAGCGCAAGCGCTAACTTCTTACTACAAGATAGCGTAGTACAGATCGGCAGTTAATGATGAATGGGAGGCCAAAGAGCACCACCAAGCCTACGTCGCATTCTAAAGCCTCAGCACTCCTAGAGTGCTTTGCTGTAGGCGGAATCCTGCCTTTGCTAACTGCTGTTGCAGATGCGATCGAAGGAATCATGCCAGCTGATCCAGAGAACTTGCAGTAGCCCCACCTACGCATTCAATATGTCAAACTTCGACTACGTTAACTTTTGCAAGCAGAAGTGCTAAGCATCATTGTAGTATTTATGGGATGTTGTCTTCATGGCGGTGCACAGCTGCCACTGAGCTGCTTACCCCTTCGGGAAAAAGGACGGAAGAAAATTATTTTGTATGCTGTAGCAGTCCTTCTGCGAACTTCTAGTGAGAGCTGTGCCCACACAGCAAAAGGCTGCAATGCATCAACCTGCATTTTCCGCGTAGCACTAAGCTCTATAGTAATCTATGCCGGAGCATGATGATCATGACTTGGCTTTTCGATTTGTACCGCAAGAGGCTGTGTGCATACTTCGCATCATCTCTATGACTATGCAGACTGCTTTTTTCTGGCTAAACAAGCGTGCTATGGCTATGAAGAGGCGGCATAGCTGACGTTATCTCTCCTTCGCCGGACGTCACCAATGCATGCCACGCGACACCTGTTCAAGGATACAAGGCTCTCACGGCGCTGGCTTTCTCGCAATTTCACATCGTATTATGAGTCTCAAGAAACAATGCTGTTTTCGATAAACACTTGCGCGATGAATTTTTCAAATTCCTTACACAATACCAAAAAGCAGCTTTGAGCAGCCCACGCCGGATTGGAATATTCAGGTCTACTCCTGCTGAATTACCATGCCGAGAATTAGGCTGTGCGAATATAGTTACAAACTGTGTCATATGCTTGAAAGGAAAAGAATTCCAATGTAATAACATCTTGTCACTTGCGCCATCGAAAAGGCCCACCTGCTTTGCCAACAGTTTCTCGCATGGCGGGCCAGTTTTTGGCACGCAAACAATGGAAATTTTTGTTGTAACAGTGTCATATCATCTTCCTTGGATTTCCGCCTGTCGAAGTAAGCTCAGTGTACCCGCTCTCAGCGAAGTTACAATGGCGCAATCTAATGTAACAGTAAAACCCTCCACGCTAGGTAGCTTAGCATGCCTGTAGGCATTCTTAAAGGGCCACTGATGCCAGTGATCCTGAAGGCCATGCAGGATTCCCTCTCGGAAACATGGCGGCATGACTTCCTGTAACTCTCCGAATTTGCGAATAAATGCCCCACGGAGCCACACAAGCGGAGTTAGACCGTTGTGAGGTAGTGTGAGTGAGCGCAACTATGGTTCTGTATTTTGACAGGCTGGTATACCGAACGAAACAGCGACCGTCATGGGACCATCAGGAACTGTGTACGCGGAAGCTGACTATTCATATGTAACCCTAGTAAGGACCCAATAGCTGAGCCCGGATTAATCAGTTGGAGTGGCTGACCCGCATACTACTATCGCTTCCTTCTTGTCAATCTCGAGAAGCGACAAGAGTGAAAAAAACTTGTGTCGCTCAACAGTGAGCATACCATATCCATCCTCCCAAGTAATTTAAACGGTGACAAGCATGCGCCAAGCCATGACGTTACTGCAAGATGCAAACTGCGTCTTCTAGCTGAATTTCTTAGGTGCAAATTTTTGGAGAAGCTTTCCTTTTTCAAGCACTTCGTTTACAAAGCGAAAGCCTGGCGTATGCTGCCCGCCCTATTGAGCGGAAGGAGCGGAGCCCTTCACATAAAGGCAATACTGAAGCGCGCAAATAACAAAGGAATAACTGTTAAGACAATGCATAATTGTGTTTCTAGGCCTCAGTATACTTGAGACATGAAATTTTCGTGTTTTCTCTTACTTTCACGCCAGCGGTCCTCCATCAGCCGCAGCCACAACGGTGTCGGCCCTGCATACGATGGGTGGGAGGCCAGGTGTGTAGCACGGGATTTCTGTAGCCTCCAGCTAGTTTATTGTGCTTTTTCTTGGTGAACTTCCGTTTTCAAGCCAGTAATTGAGACTGTAGACTTTTCGCTACGGCGTTTCTGTGTAGCCGAGCGTGCAGTGCTGGGGACCAGCGGCCTTTGTGGAACCCAAAGCCACAACTGCAGCCACCAGGTGTGCTGATCGCTTCAGGTCCTTCATCTGCTAATTATGGGTAAGGCATTTTTGCATAGTCGAAAGGGCAGCCAGTTGTTAGGTGTTCCTCCTAGAGACACTCCCGGCACAGTGCCGCTTCCCGATGGCCCGTCGGTGTCCTCCAAACTTACAAGTGAATGACTGCTTGTAAGAGCTGCATGCATTGATTTATCTGTTTTTATGTTGCTGAGGTGCAGGAGAAGAAGGCGGTTGGGGCCCTGGCGGCGCCACGAGCCGTTTCCAGGAGGTATTACTGAGCGGCGGCAGCAAAGTGCTGCAGCAGGCGACAGAGTTCCTGGGGGAGGGCCCGAAGCCTCTTCGGTTTCTTTGCTTTATCGGTGAGTTGCGTATTGAAAACTTATTTCGAACTCTGAACCTTGAGCGCTAAACCGCGCGCGGCCTAGGGGGGTTTCTCTGTTACCTAAGCATGTTCCGAACACCTTCAGACATGCACTTCAGTTGGCTTCGTATGATTTAGAAAGCAAGTAATGGAGTAGCAAAGGAGGAAACTGCAGAAAATAAGTTGAGTTTCTGTCTTTTGTAGGGGGCCTCATGACGGTTGTGACATCCGGCTTGGCCTGCATTAACATCTTCTCCATCCTTGTCGAGCCCTCGAATTACATTTTGCAAGTTTATTTGGTGTAAGGATTAAACTCAACCGAAACCGCTGCCTTAGACTTTAAGTGTGAAGAGAAGCAACCAATTGCCACCGCAGGCCGCGGCGGCTCACGATTGAGTAGTTTGCAAAAGGTGCCCATGAAAGCAAGTAACATTCGCAGAACAGAGCTAACAACACAAATTGGCCCTTATTAAATGGTGCTTTGGACTATTTTTTGAGAATTCTGGCGCCTTGTGGTTGTTTAGGTTGTTCGGTCTGCTGACTATGGCCGTAGAGGCTAAAGACATACCACCACTTGAGCGCATGCGGCCTTTCTTTTTCTCGTGGTTTCGCTTTTTGACTGTACCGGGGGGCAAAGGCTGCTTCTATATATTCTACGGTGAGGCCTCCTGGATCAAAGACTATGCTGCTAACCCTTGAGACCAATTCCTTTTCGACTGAGGGCTGAGAGAGTCCTGTTGCTGCTGGCGCAAGTTATGTACAAATTATATGTGAGTCATATCGAGTAAATTAATATGCAGCTTCTGTGATTTCTTCAACGTGCTCTTCTCAGGCTCTCTTTCGCTGTCGCTTTGGAGGAGTTCCTTCTTCTTGGCGCTCGTGGGTGAGTTTCCTGTTACTTGGTTTTGTTCATTTGTCTAAGTGGTCATTGTTTGTTTGTCTGTTTGCTTCTTTATTCCTTATTTTGTTCTATTGAGCCAGTCCTTGTACTGTTTCATCTGCTAGTTGGTCATCTGTCTGCCTTGCTGCCTGCCGGTCAGTTTATCTGTTCTCCTCACTGCGTCTTTGCGAGGAAACAAAACGGAGAAAGAGGGTTCATTGAGTATGCCTTAAAGCCTCTTTGCATGAGGAACTTGCATCTTTGCCAAGGCGGCATCTTGTCGTCTTTCTGCTGAGTATCGCGCAGGCATTTACACCGCCAGCATGGGCATTGTATGTGTTCTTGTCCACTTTGGAATGCGCCAGGAGCTGCAGCAGCATGGCATCGCAATCTCAGTGAGCCAGGAGTTGCTGCATTTCACGTTTGCTCTGTTATGGGTGATCACTAGAGCATTTGACTAGATATGCCACTGTTTAACTATCAGAGCTTGCTGTTGAGTGCTGCGCCCACTGCAGGACGGGCCTGAACAGGAAGTCGGGCTGGGCCGGGCCATCGAGCCGGAAAACATCACCCCACCAGCATTTTCATGATAAACCCAAATTATTTAGCTGCAGAAATCAGGTGGTGAAGTTTGGCGCCCAATTTGAAGTGCTTGGCGTTCATCGCACAAAGTCAGCACGGCACTTCAAAAGACCTAGAGGCCCAGTATTAGTGCCCGTGGCCACTTTGTTCTCTTTACCTCACCTTTTCACTCCCCGCCGAAATACTTGAATACACTGAGGAAACAAAGGATCAGTCGCAGTCCGTAAGGAATTACGGTTAATGTAATGTGCGGTCTGTCTCTGTGAACATCTGCCGGGGACAGCTCGAGCTTGACTTGAGGCCATTGCTGACAGTTCTAGATGAGCAGAGTGGCTTCGTGCTTTCTGCGGCTGCCCAGTAGGCTTGTATTTTTTTTCCATTCTCTGACTGTTTGGCTGCCACCAAAGCGTACGTCCTAGTTGTTTTTCGGTAATGTTTTGAGCACCGAAGTTAAATCGTAAACCCTTGACAAAGCGGCATCACAGGAGCGACGCTTAGGGGGAGTGTTCGAGTGTTTGTTTACATAAAGCAAACCTTGTCGATAGACAGATGCATACAGCAAAGTATTCGATCTTCGTGACGTGAAAGCTCTTTTTAGATCCTAAATGTAGTTCTTCGAACACCCGGGGGTTAACATTTTTCTCCGGTGTCTTTGTGAGTCATGAAGCGCCACTTGCATGTGATTGGCGCTTCAAGCATTTAAGCTACTGCAAGGCGTGAGCGTTGGGTAGCTTGACGGGGAGCTGTTTCTGGGTAGAGCTATGGGCTTGTGGCTGAGGCTCAAGACTGGCAGATTACGGTGAGCTATTAACGGCTAGCCCTATAGTGGTATCTCCGTTTCATTGCTCCTTATGCAGTGGCTAGAGCGGCGGCTAAAATCACTTTCTGCCTAGTGAATACTCACGTCACTGGCGTTTTGGGTAGACAGATTACTTTGGCGTTTCGGTAGAGAAAACTTTCTTCGGTAGCGAAGTTCAAGGAAGTGCCCTGGAGGCGCAACGTAGTGAAGATAGTGACTAGACAAGAGCGTGAACAGCAACTAACAGAAGAAGTGGAAGCTACAGCAGAGATTAGAAACAGCAGTAAGAGATACAGCAAAGACTTGGGAAATATTAATCGCTCTTTTGCTCGTGGGTGGCCAGTGGCGTAGAGGGGTTGAGGGAGCGATCCACTGGGTAAACGGCTTACGGGCTTCCCTGCATTGATTGGACTGTTGCTGTTTATCAAGAGGCCAAAGTATCGGGTGAAATGTGGTATTTGACGAGCGGAAGGGTGGGAATGCATAGCGCTCTCCTCGTTGCAGCTCGGGAGCAGGACAAGCCCAGAGGCTTGCAGCTTGATGTGGCTTCTGGGTGCCGTTTGTTTGAAAGAACACCATTAAGCCAGTTGGAACGGCATAAGACAAAGTCTTTAGCCAGTATCACTCCCTTCTCATCTTAGGCTTCCTAGTGTAACGTACCGTAAGTACGACTCCTGAGTGGCTATCAGCTGGTTCATTTTTCGGCACTGCTGGGCTTGTCCCAGGACTTCTTGGCAGCCGGATTTTTCTCTGAAATATCCATAGCACACTACATATTAGTGTTTCATTTATCTACACCATCAATCTAAGATTGCTTAGTCGGTTGGGCGCGCGAAGGGCTCATGGGCGCTCGTGGCCAAGGTGCCAACAGATCGCCGTGCACAGGTCTCTTTCCCTCTCCGCCGCTACAATAGACCATGTTTTAGCTAAACTGGTCTGCTGCTGAGCATTGTGCCGTTATGGAGAGAAGTACACCAACAACTACACAGAAAATTCTCGATAACCTTTCTCAGGGCAACGTATACCGGTGTGGGGAATATTATTAGAGAGACAAACGCGCATCCTTCGAAACGCTGGTGTGCAATCATGTGAGCATCACAAACAAACGCATATATGAGCCTATGCTGCATGCATTTGGGTGTACAGGATGTGCACGTCGATCTCCTTCGCACTTCTGCGGAGTGGCGTGTATGAGATCTGTGCTGTTTCCGAAGATTCACGTTCATGCCTTGAATACAGGTTACCTTGGGGGTGGACGGCGACAAATAGCTATTATTTTGGTTTCAAAATTATTTAGCAGCTGCTTAAATAAAAAATAAAGATAACCGGGTGAATTTGTTGCTGGGTTTCCGCAAGAAGGGCAGCCGTTGCTCTGCTTGGGGTTGGGATCAGTGTCTAGATAGCACGCTCGCGTGGCACTGTCTCTGTTTGTATGCCACAAAAGTCTCAGCGTTTGGTCCATTTTATTTGCAAATCGAAATTCTTCATTGAATCGTACCTTTTCCAATATCTGGCCGTCGCTGGCGAATTTTTGCGCTGCATGCCTCAGCAGAGCCTGACTTGAGTAGCATTTTTGTAGGTCTTGCCGCACCCACAGCCGCCGCGTGCTACTCCTCCGTTTCTTTTCCTTCACAAATACGGCATCCTTGAATATTGTCGTCAACTCCAGATACCGGAAGATTTAATTCTGGCACGTTGCTGCGTGCTAGAGACGATAACGCGGAGCCGTAGCCCGTAGACTCTTAGTCGCGAACCTACATAGACATGGGTCGGAAATTCAGGCCCAGGCTCCCCGCCCCCGGGGAGGTGCTGTACCCCCTGGATGGCTCTCCCGCGGTGGAGTCTGTGATGAGCCCCAGCGGCCTGAAGCTGGCGCTGTATGCGTGGCGGGTGCAGCAGCCGAAAGCGGTGGCTCTCTTTATTCACGGTGTACAGACTCACGCGAGATTCGAATTTCTAAGGCACCTAAACCCAGGCGAGCCCGACTTGCCTTCTCCAGCTCCCCCGGCTGCAGCCGCGCCCGCGGGCGCCGCAGCAGGCGCTGCAGCGCAAGCGGCACCCGCCGCAGCCTCAGGAACAGCAGCAGCACCTGAAGCAGCAGCAAAGGAAAGACGCGGCAGAGGGAAAGCTAAGGCTGTACGGCCAATAGGCCGACAGTGCCTGCGCTGGTGCATCTACGAAGGCAGCTGGGTGCAGCAGCTCAACCGCTGGGGCTGCTCCGTCTACGCCGGGGACCTGCAAAGTTTTGGCCTCTCGGAGGGCTGGAAGGGCCGCCGCTGCAGCGTCGAACGCCTCGACAACTTCGCTATGGATGTCATTGCCTTTGCAGAGTTCGTAGCCGCAGATATCAGCGCCAGGCCCGCCACCGGGGGCTCCCCAGCGCCCTCGGGGGACCAGCAGCCGCCCCCCATCTACCTCGTGGGCATTTCCATGGGTGGCTTCTCAGTAATTCGCGCGTTAGAAATCATGGGCGAAACGCACCACTGGCTTGTCCGCGAGGCCCCTACATCTGAGCCCCCAAACCAGGAGGCTCCAGCTGGGCCCCCCCGCCAGGGGCCCCCGCACAGCTCCACCCAAGGGGCCCCCGTGGAGCCCCCCGAAGGGGCCCCCTCGGCAGCGCTGTCGACGGGAAGCCCTTCCGGTACCCTCACGGAGGCTCCCACAGGGGCCCCCTCAGGAGCCCCCACAGGGGCCCCCAGTGGGTCCTCCGACGACATAAGGCCTCGCATTGTTGGCTGCGTCGCTCTGGCGCCCATGCTGTCCATAGAAAAGGCCAGCTCGGGGGCCTACAACAGAACCATGACAAAAGTTGGGGGAGTTCTGTCTCGTGTGGCTCCGCATTTGGGGGTGGTCAAGGTGCCTCCGGCTCGGCTTCCGTGGGTTGATGACCAGAAGAACGAGGTAGGATAAGAAATTTACATTACTGTAATTCAATCCAGGCTTCTGCGTTCAATTTTGTACTCTTCATGAGGTTTTAGCTAGGGGTTTTGCCGTGCCCACCACAAGCTTGAGGCGCGCACGAAAACGATACTGTTGACTTTACTCATTTCAGGTTTCTGCATTGCCCTTTTTTAGGCTTTCTTTGTCTTCCATGACAAAAAATGTGGCCTAAGTATTCTAAGTATTCTAAGTAGTATTCCTAGTTGCGGTAGCGAGCTACATTTCCACCTGTACTTTTTCATACTGTCTTCGTAATGAGTTTGTGTCCACATTAATTCATATTCGCGTTTCCGCACATTTCATCGCCCAGAGTGCTCGCTGTTTACGTGCGTTTCGCTATCTTCACGGGGGTGCTTCTTAATTCGTCTTTTGCACCATAGGGCCCATGGGGATGCAGGTTGATGCACACGTTTCCTCTTGAACGCTTGTAGCATTTGTGATATTTATGTTTATTTCGCTTTCTTTATTTTGTATCTTTGTGGCTGTGCATTAATTTGCTGCACTGTAGGACCCACTGGTGACGTGCCCGTTGAAGATCCCGGCTCGGTTGGCCGCTGAGGTGATGGCTGCTGTGCCTCGCGTGCACTTGAATGCGAAATTCATTCCAGTGCACATTGCCCTTCTAATTATACACGCCAGGGAGGACTCTATCGTGGAGCCACAGGTCAGCTTCTTGGGAAACAGCACAACCAGCAGCAACAGTAGCAGTAGCGGCAGTAGCGATACAGCAGCGGCAACACAAGCTAAAGTTGCAGCACCTGCAGAAGCACTAGCAGCAGCAGCAACAGCAGGCTCATAATGCCATGGCGTGCAGCAGAGGCCCTTCAGTCCACTTATATTTTACTACGGGCATTGCCACGTCAGGGGAGTACGGCCTAGAGCCCAGTTCCCAATACTCAAAGCCATGATTCAGCAAGACTGCCCGTTAGACCCTTAGCGCAGGTTATACTGCATAGGTTAGGCGACCTTGAATCGGTTCTGAATTTTTTATCGTGGGACGCTGAAGCTGCCAGCGCAATTTTAAAAATATCTTCTTCAGTTGTTTTTGGCCTCGCATTTGCCTCTGCTTGCATTCTTCAGGGCAGCATACGGTTTATGAATGAGTCGGGAGCGCATATACAGAAACGCCGGCTGGATATCTTGGAGGGGGAGAGGGGCCACTACCTGGTGATAGAGCCAGGCAACGATGAAGTGCTCGCGGCTATAAAGGAGTGGCTTAGGCTATAATTAGGTATTATAACTAGTCTTAAACGGAAATTGCCATTAGTA